GTGGTTGACCACGGTTTGAGTTCTGGACCAGTTGGGCTGAAACTTACACTGAGTATGTGTGCATTCATGCACAAAATCCCAAGAGAATGGAGAAGGGATTATTACGGTGTGGCCAACACCCCCTGGGGGATTTCTTGCTTTCTGTCTCCCTGTCTCTCCAGCAAGCATATGTGCCATATAGCAAAAATCTCTTAAAAAAAAAAAAGTTTCCTCTACTTCTCCCAAGTTACTCTCCATCCCATAATTCTGTTTCTTTTTGTAGCATCTATCAGGATTTGAAACATCTATCAACCCTTGAAAGTATAACATTTGTTGACAATCACCACCACTATCAGAAAGTAGGAGCCATGCACCAGAAGGCGGTGTGGTAGTTGAAGCACTGGGCTCCCACAATGACCAACGGCAGTTCAAGTTCTGGACCTAGTGGCTTGCTTTCTCATTTTCCCTCTTTCTCTCTATTTCTCTCTCTGATAACCACATATGTCCTATACCAAACTTAAAAAAATAATAATAAATAATTCAAAAAAATTAGGAGCCATGAAACAGGTTTGTCTTATTCTACTGCTATATCTACACTAATGCCTAGCTCATATCAGGTAAATATTTGTTTTATTCATGCATCCCACAAATATTTATTGAGCATATATAATATGTTAGGTATTGTACTACAATATACGCAGGAGATAGAACAACAACAAAAAAAATGCAACAAAATGTTTTGTCCTCGCTGAGGTTAGTATGAGTAAATAAGTCAGTATTTTGCAAAACTGGATTATTTGCAGAACCAGCAGTTAGCGTAATGGCTATGTCACTGGATTCCCATGTAGCCGACTATGGTTCAAGTCCCGGACCTGGTGGCTTAAACTCACGCCAGGCATGTGTGCTCAAGATCCCAAGAGAATAAGGGAGGAGAAGGGATTATGGCGTGGCCATCACCCTGGGGGGGGGGGTGGTGGTGGTGATTTCTCACTTTCTGTCTCTCTGTCTCTGTCTTTCTGGAGAGCGCACGCACTCTATAGCAAAAACCTCTCAAAAAAAAAAATCAGGAAATGACACACGCACACTGAAGTTGGCATTTCACTTCCCTAATATGTTAATACCGTACCTATCAAACTTAATATAAATAAAACGTTCGATCCTGACAAAGTTTTTGTTGCAACCTTATTTACCTTACTTGACTGACTCCTGTAAAGTATTTGTAACTCCCTGGACCCACAGCAAGAATCGAGCACTCCAACTCCGAAAAGCCCTTAAAACAGACTGACTTAACCTTCTCACTCAGCAAATGCCGTCTCAGCCCACTTTACAGATTGAGGGGACAGATCAGAAACGGGAGGGACGTGCAGCCACACAGTAAACCGGGCAAGGCTGGGATGAGCACCCAGGTGCCCCGACTCCCGAGTCCCAACACCGAGGACTGGGCACTCCCCACCGCAAGCCGGGGGCACCGACTTAGGCAAGCAGCACGATCCTCCTCGTCAGAAGCCCCCCGGACTGAACCAGTGAGAGGGGACGAGTCTGCAGAGGAAGGGCGACAGCCGGAGTCCGTGACTCTCTGGCGCTGGGAGGACCGCCCAGAGACGGACAGGAGAGGATCCTGAGCCCCGCTGTGACCTTCCACCTCACTGCTGAGCTCGCCTCTCGTCTCCAGATCTCCAAAACCCACCCCAAAAGACCCACCACTCGCTCGCCAGCCTTGGCTCACTTACCGCAGCTCAACTTCCGGCAACCACAGCGTCGCCCGCCCCGCGCGCTGCGATGACGCAATGGCCCCGCCCCCGCCTGCGGGGAGGGGAAGAGGGCGCATGCGCACAGGAGCCGGCAAAAAATGCGCCCCTAGCACCGGGCTAGGTGGGAGGGTTTAGAGTCGCGGGGAAGGCGGGGCATAAAGAGGGGGCGGAGCCCCAGCCTGGGGCATACCGCTGAAAATGTTACCAATCGAAGGATGCATGTGTGCCCTAGCAGGTGCTGGATCGCACCTGACCCAGTGCGCGGTTCCAGTCCCGGATACAGTGGCTGGAGGATTACGCTAGGGCGTGTGTCCTGCGTGCCCAAAATCCAGAGAGGAGAATAGAGAAAGGATTGCTGGTGATCATCCGCCCTGAGGGGTGGTTTGTAACCATCCTCACCTCTGGCGGGATCATGCTCCTATAGCAAAAAACTAAACAAACACACAAACAACAAAAAGTCTTTTGATTTCAGAGGATGACAGGAATTATTACTGTTATTTTCCGGGAGGGGCAGCATCACACGTAGCACACCATTACGGAGGCAGGTGTGCCGAGACCAAAGCTGAGAATTTTAGTAAGAAAGGCTAATGAATGCCAAACGTGTACTTTGAAAGCCAGCTGTTCTCATAGCTTCTGCTGTCCGTGGGCTGGGGTTATTTATCCTAAACTATCTGCTGCACATAAATCATGTGCAAGGCATTGGACAGGTGTGGCAGGTAGGACAATGGACAGGAGACATTTCTCAATTTGACCTTTCCAGGCTTGTCCCGATGTAGCTCCAGAGACAGTAACAGCAGCAATGACCACTATTTACTGACCACCTACCATGTTTTCAGGGTTTCACATCTCTAATCTTCACAAGGATCCTGCGAGGTAGATGTGTTATTCCTATTTTACATGTGAAAGAACTTACGCTAAGAAACATAGGCTTGGGAAAACATAGGCTTGGATAAAGCTGAAGGGTTTGGGGGCTGGCATTGTAACCTAGGTTTGTTTGACATCAAATAAGACAACGAGGAATAAGCAGTTGGCATAATGGCTATGTCGCTGGACTCCCACGTAGTCGACTGCAGTTCAAGTCCTGGACCCGGTGGCTTAAACTCACATCGGGCAAATGTGCATGTGTGCCCAAAATCCCCAGAGGAGAAGGGATTGCGGTGTGGGGATCCCCCTGGGGGTGATTTCTTGCTTTCTGTCTCTCTGTCTCTCTCTCTCTCTGTCTGGCAAGCACATGCGCCCTATAGCAAAAACCTCTCAAAAAAAAGAAGAAAGAAAGAAAGAAGAAAGAAAGAAAGAAAGAAAGAAAGAAAGAAAGAAAGAAAGAAAGAAAGAAAGAAAGAAAGAAAGAAAGAAAGAAAAAGAAAACAAATCCAGCCTTAGGGAGGATACTTTATCAGGAAGAGGGGGAGGACTCTGTAATAGGAGTGGGAGACTGCTGGAATAGGGAGCCACTCTGCTAGTGTCTCAATGGTTAGGCCAAAAGAGTTTTTCTTTCAGAGGAAGAGTAAAAAGACTAGAAAGAACCCATATGGGAAAGTGAGAGGAAGGGTGGAAGGGTGGTAGATAGAGACTATTTTACCTTGAGGCCATTTGTTCTTTTTCTCTCTAAAAAAAAATATTTTGCCAGAGGGGCCACCAGGTGGCGTAGTGGTTAAGGTGCTTGACTCACACATGGTTGACTGCAGTTTGAGTCCTGGACCTGAAGGTCTGAAACCCACACCAGATGTGTGTGCATACATGCCCAAAATCCCGATAGAGAATGGAGGAGAAGGGATTGTGGCATGACTATGCCCCTGGGGGGTGATTTCCCACTTTCTCTCTCTCTGTCTCTCTCCAGTGAGCTTATGCACCCGGTAACAAAAATCTTTCTTAAAAAATTTTGGTTTTGCCAAAGGGTGTGCTCACTGGAGAGAGCAAGAGAGAGAGGGAAAGTGAGAAGGACCCCTATGGGGATGGCCACGCCAAAAACCTTTTTCATCCATTTTTCCCTCCTTTAAGAATTTTGGGCGCATGCGCACGTGCACGCGCACACACACACACTCAGCGTGTTTTTCAAGTCTCTGGGCCCAGGGCTCAGTCCGTGAGGTCAGAGGCTAGTTTATTCTGAGGAGGGGTTGTACGCTGGCTCAGGTTGAAAGTGGGTCGCAGTTAAGGAGCCTGGTTAAGATGTCTGCATCCCCTGTGGCCGACCGCACAGTGCAAGTGTTGAACTTGATGGCTCGAGAAGCACACCAGCACCTGTGTAGGTGCCTAAAATCCCCAACAGGAAGGAGAAATTAAGGAGAAGTCATTGAGGTGTGACCATGACCCACAGGGGGCGCTTTCTCACTTTTACTGTTTCTCTCTCCCTGCTTCTCTCTGGAGAGTGCACATGCCCCCTGGCAAAATATTTTGTTTGTTTTTGAGAGATTTTTGCTATAGGGTACATGTGCTCGCTGGAGAGACAGAGAGAGAGAAAGTAAGATATCACTCCCCCAGGGGGGTTGGCCACACTGCAATCCCTTCTCCTCCATTCTCCCCTTGGGATTTTGGGCATGCATACACATGTGCCCAGCTAACAGGTCCAGGACTCGACCCATAGTTGACAATGTGGGTTGCCAGCAATGTAACCATCACAGCCTGTGCTGGTTCTGGCAAAACGTCTTTTAAAAAGATGTAGGACCAGGAGGGGCCAGTAGGTGGCACAGTGGTTAAAGACGTTGGACTCCCACGCGGCTGACTGAGGTTCAAGTCTTGGACTGGCAGCTTGCTTTCTTGTTCTGTTTCTTTTTCTCTTTTTTTGGTCAAATTAAAAAAACAATAATAATAAAATAAAGTTAAATAAAAGCAATTCTTTAAAAAAAAAAAGATGTAGGACCAGTAGGTACAGGAAGGCAGAGAATGGGGGCGGGAAGCAGCAGGTGGAGTAGTGATTAAGGCATTACATGGCCGACTGCGGTTCAAGTCCTGGACCCAGCACTTGAAAATCATGCTGGGCCTGTGTGCATGCGTGCCCCAGATCCCAGGAGGAGAATGGAGAAGGGGTTGTGTTATGGCCATCCTCCCAGGGGAAGGGGTGATTTCTCACTCTCCTTCTCACAGTCTCTGTCTTTCTCGGTAAACTACCTTTTAACGCTAAGGGGCTATGGCAAAAACCTTTAAAAAAAAAAAAGAAAAGAAAAGAAAAGAAAAGAAAAAGAAAAGAAAAGGCAGAGAATGTTCTCAGACACAGCAGGGCAGTGAGACCCTGTGGCACTTATTCAAGGCCACTGTGATTCGGGTCAATTCCGTTTCACCACTTGTGTCTCACAGCGCAGCTGAGGTGAGCGCACGCTCCCACAATGGGAACTGTCTACCACGCCGACCCAGGCTTTGAAAGCCTGAGAACCCCTAGCATGACAGATGTTGACAAATTAGATCTTAATAGCACTTTTCTTTATAGCACTTAGAGCGCGTAAGAGCCAGGAAAGCCCCGGCATCATTTCCATCCTGCATTACAACTAGTAGAGCTCCCTCCTAGAAGCCCGTGGAGTACCCATCTTCAAAGAGAGGCCAGCAATTTTCTGCAAAGCCAATTAGTCAAATGACCGATTCATCAAATGGCCAATCTGCAGACTCAGAGATTTTTTTCGGAATAAAGGTCTTGCTAACATGACCAGGTTATAAGGCTTATAACAAATTCTGTTTGATAGAATGACTTCACAAGCTTTTGAAAATGTGATGTGGGACTGATAGTTAAAAGGCGCTGGAATCCCACATGGCTGATCACGGTTCGAGTCCTGGACCTGGCAGCTTGCTTACTCCCTTTCTCCCTGTCTCTCTCAGGTCCAATTAAAAAATAATAATGGTGGGAACCAGCAGTTAGCGTAATGGCTATGTTGCTGGACTCCCACGTAGTCGACCGCGGTTCGCATCCCGGACCCGGTGGCTTAAAACTCACACCAGGTGCTTGTGCGTGTGTGCCCAAGATCCCGAGAGGAGAATGGAGGAGAAGGGATTGTGGCGTGACCATTCCCCCTGGGGGGGTGATTTCTCGCTTTCTGTCTCTATGTCTCTCTCTAACTGGCGATCGCACGTGCCCTATGGCAAAAAAAACTCTCAAAATAATAATAATAATAATAATAATAATAATGGCAGATAGAATTAAATAAATAAATAAATAAATAGTGCTTAAAAAAAAAGTATGTGATACCATAGGTGACTTGTTTTCATTTTATCTTCAGAGAAGCATTTTAAGGAATGTTCTTTATTTCGAAAGCTCAAGGTCAAGCCAGCCCTGTGGCCTGACGGCTAAGGCAGCTGGGTCTCACCTGGCTAACCGGTTCCAGTCCCTGACCCAGCAGCCAGAAACATGCCAGGCATGTGTGCATGAGTACCCGAAACCCCCGAAGGAGAGCGGGATGAAGGAGGAGGGACTGAGCCGGGACTATTCTTCCCTTGAATACATGGAACTTAGGAATATATTCATGAACAACGTGTTTCTGAGTGGGGATTTTTCCAACTGCATTCATCCTCGGCCTATTTCTTTCTTTTTCCTTGTTTTCTTTTTAGGTTTTTACCATAGGGCATGTGTGCTAGCCAGAGAGGGAAAGTGAGAAATCGCTTCTGGGGAGATGGCTACGCTGCAGTCCCTTCTCCTCCGTTCCCCTCTCGGGATTCTGGGCAGGTGCACACACATGCCTGGAGTGATTTTCAAGCTAAAGGTTCAGGACCTGAACTGTGATCAGCCACGTGGGAGTCCAATGCCTTAACCACCACGCCGCCTACTGGCCCCTAGTCTTCTCTTTCTGTTCCCCGCTGCCTGCGTCTTCTTTTCTGTCCCCCCCCCCATGCCTCAGTTTCTCCCTTTGTCTCCCCCCACCCAGCATTGCAGCTCTCTGCCTGAGTCTGCCCGGATTTCACCCTCTCTGCCCTCCTGCGCCGGCTTCATCTGCCTCTCTCTCATCACAGCCTCTTGTCCCCTGTCTCTTCCCCTGACTCCCTCCTCTCTGTCACTCTGCCTCCCCCCATCTCTCCTTAGTCTCCCTTTATTTCTGCCCCTCTGCCACCCCCACCTCTATTTCTCCTCTCCAT